GGACTTTTCTTCATACTGTCTGCTTTTATTAAAGCACCTCTGTCTCTTAGGCCTTAACCCAGATGAGGGGAGCATGTGTTTCAAGTTCTGATTATACTGTATTTTGGAAAATGAATATTGACCTTTTTTTGTTTGTTTGTTTGTTTAAAAACTCCTTTTCAGTGTCTTTTTTTTGGTTTTTTTTTCAGGTATTCTGTCACAGGTAGGCAGAGATACTGGTTGGGCTTGTACATATAAAATTAAAAGTATACACAAAAGCCACCTATTTAAAAATTCAAATCAAGTTTTTTCTTTAAATCCTACTTTAATTATTACAAGTAGGTTTTTAATTATAAAGAGAATGTTTCTTGAATATAAGTTTATAATGTATTTTTCCAGCCTTTGGATTTATTTGATTTATTATATTTCAGTTGTGCTTTTTTTTTTTTATTTTATTTTATTTCAATGTGACAGAATGGCTGAACTCCGTGAGAAAGTGAATGGAACAATGGAAAAACTGAATATCTGTATATTATTAGCTATAAAGTTGGAAGCGTCAAATAAAAATGAAAAAACCTTTAAGTTTGTCTGGTTTCAGAATAGAAACTGAGGAATTGTGGCTCTTCTTTTTGGGGTAAAATATGGAATATTTGAGTGAGAATGAGACTGTGAGGCTTCAACTGGATTTAGGGAATTGGGGGCAAACTCCTGACAATAGAAATAATTTAAATTTGTGATTGGGTGGGATCACAATAATAGTGATTATTATTACAATTAATCACAATAATTAATTGTGATATATAATGTATAAATACATATAATATATAAAAATATTTTAATTTTAAATTATTTTAATTTCTATAATTTATATGTATGATATATAATTTATATATTATTCAATATATAATATAAATATACAGTATATAAATTTATAATATATAAATATATTGCTATATATTATCTAAATATATAATATATATAATTTTTCACTATTATTAAATTTGTTTCATATATAATATATAATAAATATATTAATATATAAAATAGATGTTATATCTATTATATATTAATATATGTTAGAATTATAGTAATAGAAAAATATAATAAATATATAATAAAACTATAGAATATTTTTTATAAAATTGTAGAAGTTATAAATAATTTAAATTACAATAACTGATATTTAATAACAAGTATAATATTAATTGGGATGAACACAACAATTCATACAAATAATTAATTGTGATAATAATGATCATAATTTCAGTATTTTATAAAAGTTCTTGGCAGCTGCTGAGGTTTGAGTGAAGCCCTCAGTGAAGCCTCTGCACTCCTGGGCTTGGCTGTGCTCTGTGCTCTGTGGTGAAACTCAGCCCTGTGCCAGCTCAGAGCCTTCCTGGCCTCTCTCCAAATGGGTCACGGCATCACATTTGGGGCTGGGAATCTTTAATAACCCAAAATTTCCTGTGCTGGGGTGGTTTGGGGCTGTTTTATAGTTAAAACAGGAATTCTGCAAGGGGATGGGTGTTGGAGCAGCACTTGTGATGAGGTTTGCAGAGTTTGTTTTCCTGTCCCATCTCCACATGGGTCACTGCATCAGATATGGGTGTTTAATAACCCAAAATTACCTGTGCTGGGGTTTTTTGGGTTGTTAAAGACACTTAAAGCGGGAATTCTGCAAGGGAATGGGGAGCAGCAGTTGTGATGAGGTTTCCAGAGTTTGTTTTCCTGTCCCATCTCCCCATGGGTCACTGCATCAGATCTGGGACCTGTGCACCCCTCGGGGTGAGGGTGGTGGTGACAGCTTGGGGCCGAGCAGGAGCCACAGGCAGGGTGGGGGTGCTGCTAATTGTTAATTAGAAACGAGTTTAACAAACCCATTGTGGTCAGGAAGGAGTTTAACAAACCCATTGTGGGGGCAGCTCACCCATTAGAGAGTCTTTGCTCGGGTGTGAATGTCCCTGGCTCACAGCTGGTGACACTTGGGCCAGGACCAGGCTGGAGTTTGTCACCTGTCGGGGATGTTTGGGATCCCCAGCAGCCAGGATTTATCAGGATTTTTGGGATCTCTCAGAAGGCAGGATTGATCAGGACAGGGACATTTGGGATCTCAGCAGCCAGGACTGACCACAACAGGGATTTTTGGGATCCCCAGCAGCCAGGATTGATCAGGACGGGGATGTTTGGGATCCCCAGCAACCAGGACCAACCACAACAGGGATTTTGGGTGGCTTTTGCTCCAGAAGCGCACGGAGGGAAATGGCTTTACCCGAGCCAATGACAAAATCTCAGCCCCTGAGCCCAGCTGAGACTGACCCAGCCTGGCTTGTGGGAGGGCTGGAAAAACTTTAGCTCAACAAAACTCCCTGAGACTTGTCCTCAAAGTGTTCCTCATCTTGTTTTATTCAGCTGTGACTTTAGAAATGCTTTTGTTTCCTACAGCAGGCAGAGTAACCAGCTGCCTCCTCCCTGAGCTCTGCATTTCCATGGCAGAATCCACTTCTGAGCTCAGGACAGGATAAAGCAAGAGGTGCCTTCCCTGCCCTGCTGCTCCTTTGCATGAAGAGCCTGGCTTGTCAAATGTTTCATGTGTGTGGTTTAATTTAAAAAAAAAATTTTAAAAAAATCTGCAATGCAATATGTGCTCTAATTTGAGGACACCATTTAGTGATTTTAATTGTGTGACAGTATTTTGGTATTTTCAATACCCAGTAGTAGGTTAATGACTGTTCCTTGAAGAATGGAGTTTATATAACACCAGTCATTACATAAGAAGGCTGATTGTGGCCTGAGGAGCAGGAGGGAAACAAATTTGCAAAAATGCAAAACCCAGCAGCAGCAAACTCTGCTTCGGTCACTCTGAGAAGCCCCAAAAGAAGGGAACACCTGGATTCTGGCAAGGAGAAACCGTGAGGAAGGTGGGGATGAGGGGAGGCTCTGCAGGACACCGAGCTGAGCTGCCGCCCATTCCCCACGTGCTGCTCCCTCCACCTCGCCCCGTTCGCTGTGAAAGGAACAACAACCAAACAAGCAAAAAGTTACCGCCTGGTCACTTCTCTTTTCTTTTTCTTTTCTTTCCATTTTTCCCCAGCAGCTCCTAAGCCGGACAGACCGATAGCACGGTGTGGAACAAACGGACCCTCGCCCTTAGGGACAGAGAGGGGACAAAGCTCTTGGTGTCCCAGCCCTGCCGGGGTCCCTCCGCCCCAGCCCGGCCTTTCGGGGGGCCCAAGCGAGGGAGGATTTTCCCAGGGAGGATTTTCCGAGGGAGCGTTTCCAGCCGGGCTGGGATTTGCTCCCCGCTCCGGGCGGCTCCGCTGCCTCCCTTGAACCCGCGGGGCCGCGACCCCCGCTCGGTGCCCGTGACAACCCCGCGACCCCCGCTCGGTGCCCGTGACAACTCCGCGACCCTCGATCGGTGCCAGCGATCCCTGCTCGGTGCCCGTGATCCCCGCTCCGTGCCCATGATCCTCGCTCGGTGCCCGCGACCCCTGCTCGGTGCCCGTGATTCCCGCTCGGTACCAGCGATCCCCATTCCGTGCCCACGACCCCCGCTCGGTGCCAACGCTCCCTGCTCGGTGCCCGCGACCCCTGGTCGGTGCCCGCGCTCCCCGCTCGGTGCCAGCGATCCCCATTCCGTGCCCTCGATCCCCTCTCGGTGCCCGCGATCTGTACTCGGTGCCCGCGCTCGGTGCGGGCGGAGGAGGCTCCGGGGGCAGCGCGGGGGAACGCGGGGCTCGCACCCCCGGCCCGCCCCGCTCCGAGCGCGGACCCCCGGGCGGCGAGAGCCCGGGGAGGGGTCCCGGAGGGGCAAAGGGGGCCGGGGCCGACCCCGGGCGGAGGAAGGGCGGGGTGAGGATGGCGTGTGGCTCTGGAAACGCGGCCAAGCGCCGCTGCCGGGGCTCGGCGTGCGGCTGCGGGGCGGGGGGAGCCCCGCAGGGCCGGCCCGCAGAGCTGGAGCCGCCGCTCGCCATGAGCCGCTCCCGGAGCAGCGCCTCCCCACGTAGGTAAATGCCCGGGGTGGGGAGGGGGCGGCCGGCGCTGCCTTGGGCGCATCTTCCCCCTCGCTGCATCCCGCATCCCTCCCTGCATCCCGCATCCCTCCCCCGAGCGGGGCCGGCCCGGGGGCTGCCCGCGGGGACAGCGCAGCCCCGAGCCGGGAGGGCTTGTGGGGCTGAATTTTTTTTATTTTTTGGGTTTGAGGTGGTGAGGGTGGGCGCGGTGATTTGGGGGCTGGGGTATTTTATTTTATTTTATTTTTTTATCGCCGATTTTTATTTAGCAGCGCTCGGCAGCGGGGATGATTTTGGGGAGGGTCGGCGGGGAGGATGCGATGAGGCTCCCCCGGAGTGGGTGATTTTTTTGCAGCCTGCCTCCTCCTCCCCCAGCCTCTCCCCCCCACCCCGGCTTTGGCTGCCTCGCTTCCCAGTTGCTGCATGAAGGCTGTGCTTGCACCGGCGTGTGCCCGCTCCCGGAGCCGCGCACCCGCCGCCACCGCGGCCGGGGGGAGCCCGGGACCAGAATTATTATTATTATTTTTATTTTTAATTTTTTTTAAAAATATTTTTTAATATTTTTTAATTTTTTTTTTTTTTTTTTACCTATCACATCCACCTTTAGAATTACAAAATAATAACGCGGGCAGGGCGCGGGAGCCCGCGGCGTCCCCGGCACGGGGGAGCGCTCGGTGCGCGGTGTGCGCGGGGGGCTCCGCGCCGCCCCGCCGCCCCCCGCCGCACCGCAGCGTGCGGGCAGCGAGCGCGATGCGCCCCGCGCTCGGCGCTGCGGAATAGCGCGGCCGCCGCTCCGCGGGCTGCGGGCGCACGGACCCCACCGCTGGCCGTTCCCTCTTGATGTCCATGAATGCAAACACCATGATTTTCATGATCCTGGGCGCCTCTATCGTTATGGTAAGAGATTTTTTGCTTATCTCCCCTCCCCATCCGTGGTGTGTCCCCCCCCCCCCCCACCTCTTCCTCCTCCTCTCCATCAGCACCGCCGCCCCCCCGCCTCCTCTCCACCTTCCCCCCGCGCTGTCCTCGAGCCCGAGCACCTCCGTGTGTGTCCGTGTGTCCCTCCACACGCACATCTTCTCCCGATGGCTGCTTCGGTGCCCGGCAATCGAACTGGAGTGGATGTTTTACCCCAGCGCCCAGCGCTGACCCCGTGCCTCGCTTGTGGGCTCTTACAGGCAATAGCTTGCTTGATGGACATGAACGCCTTGCTGGACAGATTCCACAATTACATCCTACCGCACCTCCGAGGGGAGGACCGAGTTTGTCACTGCAACTGTGGAAGGTGAGTTCTGCCTGCAGAGCATCCCCCGTGCCCGCCCTGCCCACCTGGGGACGAGGTGACGGGGACACGGTGGCAGCTGTGCCACCATTTCTGCATCCTGGCCGTGCCTCGCCTTCCCCAGCGGCTCCTGCATGAGCAGGGTGAGGGGAGGGGGTGCTGTTTGTTGTTGGTTTTTAATTTGTGTTTTGTTTTTTCTGGAAGAAGAGTTTTCCGTGGGCTCTGAGTGCGTTTTCCTTTGTGTACAGGCATTTGGGAGCCCTGGGGGAGTGAGAAACTTTGATTTAAGCGTTTGTCATTGTGGCTTTTGTGGTTCCCCAGCCTGTTTGTGGTCTGGGTGTTGCAGTTGGTGCCGGTTTTGTGGCTCAGAAATGGAATGGAGAAATGAGAGAATCCCTGTCCAGGCTGGGATGTGGCTGCCTAGGACAGTCACTTGGAGGCTTTGCAATCAATCTTTGGTCGGATTTTCATCCCCTGTGGCTTTTCCTGCTGGAGACAGCACGCTGAGGAGGCCGGGCTGTGCTTCAGGAGTGCTGCTTCTGCTGTGCACAACTTTATGTCTGGACAAATACCTTCCTCATCCTCCCAAACAGCATCTCTGGGCCTTATCCATCCCTGGAGTGCTCGGCTGGGAACTGGGATCTGCCTGCTCGGAGGCTGCTCAGGCCCAGGGCTAAACAGAATTATAAATATATATATATGTGGGGAGGTGAATTTTGTCCTTCTCTGTGGGACTGCTTCTGGTGCTGCTCTGGACTCTGCTCAGGCCTAGGGCTGAGCAAAATTATGAAAAAAATATATATGGGAGGTGAATTTTGGCCTTCTGTGTGGGACTGGTCCTGGTGCTGCTCTGGACTCTGTTCAGGCCCAGAATTCTAAAATATAAATACTGGGGAGGTGAATTCCACCCTGCTCTGTGGGACTGTTCCTCATGCTCCTCTGGACTCTGTTCAGGCCCATGACTGAACAGAATTATAAAATATAAATAAATACTGGGGAGGTGAATTTTGTCCTGCTCTGTGGCACTGCTCCTCACGCTGCTCTGGAGTCTGTTCAGGCCCAGGGATGAACAGAATTATAAAAAAAATAGATATGGGAAGGTGAATTCCACCCTGTTCTATGGAACTGTTCCTGGTGCTGTTCTGGACTCTGCTCAGGCCCAGAATTATAAAAAAAATATATATATGGGGAGGTGAATTTTGACCTTCTCTGTAGGACTGGTTGTAGTTCCTGTAGTTCCTGGTGCTGCTCTGGAGTCTGTTCAGGCCCAGGACTGAACAGAATTATAAATATATATATAATGGGGAGTTGAATTTTGTTCTGCTCTGAGGGACTGCTCCTCACGCTGCTCTGGAGTCTCTTCAGGCCCAGGGATTAACAGAATTATAAAATATAAATAATAGGGAGGTGAAGTTTGGCCTTCTCTGAGGGGCTGTTCCTGGTGCTGCTCTGGACTCTGTTCAGGCCCAGAATTATAAAAAAATATATATGGGGAGGTGAATTTTGTCCTGCTCTGTGGGATTGTTCCTCATGCTGCTCTGGACTCTGTTCAGGCCCAGAATTATAAAAATATAAATATGGGGAGGTGAATTTTGGCCTTCTCTGTGGGACTGTTCCTGGTGCTGCTCTGGAGTCTGTTTAGGCCCAGAATATAAAAAATATATATATGGGGAGGTGAATTATGTCCTGCTCTGTGGGATTGTTCCTCATGCTGCTCTGGACTCTGTTCAGGCCCAGAATTATAAAAAAATATAAATATGGGGAGGTGAATTTTGCCCTGTTCTGTGGGATTATTCCTCACGCTGCTCTGGACTCTGCTGAGGCCCAGGAGCAGGCCTGGGATGTGGCAGCGCCCTCAGCTCCTGGGGCTCCTCCTCGCAATTTCAAAGGCAAAAAACTTCCAGAGTGTCTCCCCCTTGGTTTTGACAAGGATTTGCTTTTTCTGAGCTGTTTTTAAATTATTTTTCTTGATGTTTTTCCCTAGATTTGAGAGGTTTCCTCTGTTTCTCCCGCCAGTTTTTCTGTTACCGGTCCCGGCTGGTTTCAGTGCTGGTGGGAAGGAGCTGCTGGGATGTTTGGGGTGGCAGAGCAGTGCCAGGGCTCTCTGGGTGTCCCCAGGGCTGGGGAGGTGCCAGGGTCACCCTCTGAGCCCCCTCTGTGCCTGCAGAGCTGCTCCTGGGGCAGATAACCCGGCCCTGGCACTGCCCACAACCAGCACGGGCTCATTTCCTGGAGAGGGCACAAAAACCCTCCCAAACTGCCGAGACTGGGTGGGAGAGGAGGCAAAAATCAAAGTTCATCCTTTGCTTCAGGTGTGTGGGAGCAGCTGCCAGGAGAGGCAGCTCAGGAGGCTCTGAGAGCTGGCTGGGAGCTGCTCCTCCCTCAGCAGGAGATCCCAAACCCTTCTCTGGGCTGTTCCACCTCATCCTGAGCTCTGCCCTGCAGGACCAGGAGGTCCCAAACCCTCTCTGGGCTGTGCCACCTCATCCTGAGCCCTGTCCTGCCCTGCTGCCCTCCTGGCACCACCAGGAGATCCCAAACTTCCCTCTGGGCTTTGCCACTACTTTTTCCTGCCCTGCTGTCCCCCTGGAGATCCCAAACACCTGCCTGGGCTCGGCCACCTTGTGCTGAGCTTTTTCCTGCCCTCCTGCCCCCCTGGCAGCACCAGGAGATCTCAAATCCTCTCTGGGCTGTGCCACCCTGTACTGAGCTTTGTCCTGCTTTGCCCTGCAGCACCAGGAGATCCCAAACCCTCCCTGGGCTGTGCCACCTCTTTATCCTGCCCTGCTGCCCCCCTGGCAGCGTTTGGAGCCCTCTGGTTTCCAGACTGTGCCCTCTGGTATCTGCCCAGGAGCCCTGAGCCCAGCCCTGTGCCAGGAGCAGCTCCCAGGCTGGGCTGGATGAAGAGAAAGAAACTGAATTTTCCGAAAACCAGGGGGAGTCCTGGCAGGAGGAGGGAGCTGCAGCTCGGTGTGGGGCAGGAGGGGATGGGGAACATCAGGAAATGTGGCAGAAGTGGGAGGGAAGGAGGAATTGGGATGGGGAACGCCAGGAAATGTGGCAGAAGTGGGAGGGAAGGAGGAATTGGGATGGGTGGATGGATGGAGATGGATGTGCTGGGCTGAGCTGCTGCAATTCATGATCTCCCTGTGCCCCAGCCTGGGTCACAGTGCCAGGCAGAGCCAATAACTCAGGCAGAAATGTCTGCCCTCCTCTCCTGGTTGTTTCCATCCTCAGGGTGAGACTGTCCTGCGGCCAGGCTGGGTGTGGGTCCAGGCCCTGGCAGTGCCCCCAGGAGGGGCTGGGGCTGTGTGCCAGCTGTGCCAGGGACTGGGAGGGCATCCCCAGCTGGGAAAACTCTGCTGGGAAGGGGAGCTGAGCCCTGCCAGGCTGTCCTGGCTCCATCCCCAGCCTGGATCCCCAATCTCCTGGCACTGGGATGGCTCTGCCAGGTCCCAGCTCCCCTTTGGGTGTCCCCTGTCCCTGTGCCCGGGATTTGCTGTTGGTCCCTGGGGTGCTGGCAGGCAGCAGCACCAGCTGTGCCCAGGCTGTGCCCAGGCTGTGCCCACGGCCTGGGGGCTCTGGGCTCACCCAGGGGCACTCCCTGGCCCAGCAGGATGGGCACAGGAAGGGCTGTACATCATTTATTTTTGCAGTGGTTTTAAGCATTAACATTATTTTTGTAGTGTTTTTAAGGGGCTGTTTGCTCTCAGTTCATGCCAGGAGGGATTTTTGGGAGGTGCTTTTGAGGTCTGTGGGAGCCAGGAGGGAGCTGTGCTGTGTTGGTGTTCTCAGGGGTCCCAGGATGAGGGGAGAGATGAGAATCTTGACTCCATGTTTCAGAAGGCTGATTTGTTATTTTATATATTTATATTTTATTATATATATCCATATATTAAATATTTATGTGCTTATAAAATATATAATATATAATAAATATAAATATATAAAATAACAAATAATTTTCTTTTAATATAATATATAATAAATATTATATGATACATCATATTTATGAAATATGTTATATTAAAAGAAAATTATAGATTAAAACTATACTAAAAGAATAGAAGAAAGGATTTCATCAGAAGGCTTGAAAGGAATAGAAAGGAATGATAATAAAATCTTGTGACTGACCAGAGTCTGATACAGCTGACTGTGATTGGCCATTAATTAAAAACAACCACATGAGACCAATCAAAGTTGCACCTGTTGCATCTCACAGCAGCAGATAATCATTGTTTTTCTTTTCCTCTGAGGCTTCTCAGCTCCTCAGGAGAAAAATATCCTGGCAAAAGGGATTGTTCAGAAAATATCCTGGTGGCACTGTGGCACCTGTGCTTTGCTATGATTGTTTGATGGGGAGGTTAACACAGCTGCAGGATTCTAAATTAGCAATTTAAATGATAACCCTATAAATGATAACCCTAAAATGATAACCCTAGAATGACAACCCTAACTCTAAGCTTACTCCATTAATATGAACAAAACTACAACAGGATGACACAACTTTATCAAAGATCCCGTTTGCAGTTGGTGGTCACCCAAAGATTATGGGTGGTGATTTGCATTTTGTTTTATTCCTTGCAGGATTTTGGTGATTTCTTTTTGTATCTCTGAGCAGAGCTGGCCTGGGGAAGCTGGGGCTGCCTGCAGCTGCCCTGGGGCCCAAATTTGCAGTTTTTTTGGGGTGGTTTGAAACTCTATTTGCAGTTTTTTGGGGTGGTTTGAGCCTCTGTTTGCAGCCTGAGTGAGCCTGGGCTGGGCAACCTCTGGTCCCTGCTGAGCTGGGAGTTCCCCCGGGCTCTGAGAGGTGACAAATGTGTCACCTGAGCAGGTGAGGTGTCACCACCAGTCTGGGCCGGGTTTTCCCTCCGCAGAGCAGCAGAAAAAGGAGGAGCAGAGCTGGCAGCGCCCCCAGGGCATGGGGGAGCCCCCAGGGCTGGGGAAGGGGAGCTGGGCTGGGCTGGGGGGACAGGGACAGCTCCTGGGGCACACCTGGCTCAGGAAGGGGTGGCATCCAGGGGTGACAGCCACAGGTGACAGCCGGGGGTGACAGCCACGCTCCCTGCAGGGATGTGGCTGCTGGAGCTGATCCCTGGGGCAGCTTGGCACTGTCCACGCCAGCGTGTGGAGGCTACAGGCTCTCCCAAATATCTGTGCCAGCCTCTCCAAAATCCCCGTGCCACGTTGTGCCAACTCTGTGCCATGCTCTCCAAACACTGTGCCATGCTTTCCAAACCCCAGGCTGTCCCAACCCCTGTGCCAGCCTCTCCAAAATCCCTGTGCCAGGTTGTGCCAACCCTGTGCCATGCTCTCCAAACCTCAGGCTGTGCCAACCCTGTGCCAGGCTCCCAGCCCCGTTCCGGGCCCCGTGCCCGTGCTGGGACCGGCTCGAACAGCCCCGGGCTCGGTCAGGGAGGCTCGGGGGGCTCCGCTCCCCCAGCCCCGCCCGGATCAGCCCCGAACCCGGCGAGGGCCGCTCCGGCCGGGATGTGGCAGCTGCGGCGGCGGGAGCTGCGCCGTGATGTCACTGTCACTGTCACCTGCCGGGGGAGCGGGGCTGAGCCCGAGCATCGGCGCCTCCCCGTCCCCGTCGCTGTCACTGTGCCTGTCCGTGCCCCCATCTCCGTCCCTGTCCCCATCCTTGTCCCCATCCGTGTCGCTGTCCCTGTCCCCGCCCCTGTCGCTGTTCCCATCCGTGTCCCCGTCCCCATCGCTATCCCTGTCCCCCACTGCCATTCCCATCCCTGTCCCTATCCCTGTCCCCATCCTTGTCCCCCATTCTTGTTGCTGTCCCTGTCCTCATCCTCATCCTTGTCCCCCATCCCCGTCCCTGTCCCCATCGCTGTCCCCATCCTCATCACTGTCCCCATCCTTGTCCCTGTCCCTGCCCCTCTCCCCCGTGCCCGTCCCCATCCCCATCCCCGTCCCTGTCCCTATCCCCGTCCCCTCCCTGTCCCTGTCGCTGTCCCCGTGTCCCAGCCCCGCTGTCTCTCCGTGCTGTGGCTGCAGCAGCAGCGGCGCTGGTGGCGCTCACCCAAGGTCACCGTAGGGGACAATAGCGCTGGGGACAGAGCCCGAGCCTCCCGTGTGGCACAGCCGGGCCTGGGGACACCGGGCGGACACACGGACCGTCTGTGTGTCTGTCTGTCTGTTTGTCTGTCACCCTAGCCGGAGAGCAGAGCCAGCCCCGCCGGGCTGGGATTTCTGTCCCTCAATTTCTGTCCCTGGGATTTCTGTCCCTGTCATTTCTGTCCCCCGATTTCTGTCCCTCAATTTCTGTCCCTCAATTTCTGTCCCCGGGATTTCTGTCCCTGCAATTTCGGCCCCTCAATTTCTGTCCCCTGTGAAAGTTCCAGCACAGCCAGGGTGGGCACAGCTCAGGGAATTTTGGAATATCCTAAACGTGGGCACAGCTCGGGGTATTTTGGGGTACCCTAAAGGTGGGCACAGCTCCTTGGGTCCCCCGAGGGTGGGCACAGCTGAGGACAGGAGGTGGCACAGGGTGACCTGGCAGCAGCTGGAGCTGCCCAGGAATTGCCCTCAGGAATTGTTTGGTTCCTCCTTCTCTTGTAAATAATCACAAGGAGAGCCCGGGGCACGAGTGGCACCTCTGCCACGGGGATTTGGGGACAGTGGGAGATGTGTGTGCAGGGATTTGGGGACAGTGGGACATGTGTGCAGGGGTTTGGGGACATGGGACATGTGTGTGCGGGGATTTGGGGACATGGGACATGTGTGTGCAGGGATTTGGGGACAGTGGCACACGGGAAGTGCTTGCCTGTGCCCATGGCACCCCTCTCATTCCTTTTGGGGTCCCCTCTCCCCCCTGCAGCCCCTGCCCGGCTTTCCCAGTGCCCGAGGAGGGACAATCCCAGTTCCCAACTGGGCAGCACCGGGAGCAGAGCTGCCACCAGAGCTGCCACCCCTGTCCCTCCCCTTTCCCGGTGACAATGGGGGCTGGTGCCACCCTGGAGTCGGCCAGGGGCACGGCAGGGATCGGGGCTGTTTTGGGAAGGTTCCTGGAGCGCAGTTTTGTTTGTGTCAATATTTGGACGTTTCTCAGGCGTGATTACGGAGCAACCTGAGCCTCATGAATATTCAGAGGCCTCGGGGACTGCCTCGGTGTGCTCTGTGTGACAGGGACACAGGAATGGGCACTGGGGACACTGGGCATGGCTGGCACTGCCCGAACTGAGGGCACTGGGGGTGCCAGGGCTGTGCTGGTGGAGCTGGACCATCACCTGGATGGGTGTGTGGTCACTGCTGGGCAGGGGCAGTGCCACCTGTGCCCACCTGGGCAGGGATAGTTCTGAGGAGTTTTTTTGTTGTTGTTTTTTTTAGGTTTCTTTTTTTGTTGTTGTTTGGGTTTTTTGTGGATTGTGTTTGTTTGTTTTATTTAAATCAGAAATTATTAATAATAATAACAATAACAATAATATTGCCATTATAGTCAATAAAGAGAAAAGGCCTAGGCTAAGGGATTTTTGTGCTTTCCCTCCTTTTCATGATTTCCTTTCTGTTGCCAGCAGCACAGAAAACCAGGGCAGCCCTTCTGCTGCTGGGGATGGTGGGAATAACAGGGAGAAGAACCAAAATAAGAATTTCCACTGATTTTTTCCCCTTTCTGCCCCATTTCTGGCAGGCACCACGTGCACTATGTGATCCCATACATTGTGCTTTCCCTCCTTTTTCATGCTTTCCTCTCTGCTGGCACAAAGCGCCAAGGCAGCCCTTCTGCTGCTGGGGAAGGTGGGATAAAAACCAGAATAAGAATTTTCACAGATTTTTGCCGTTTTCCCCCCGTTTTTGCCCAGGCACCACGTGCACTACGTGATCCCGTACGACGGGGACCAGTCGGTGGTGGACTCGTCGGAGAATTACTTTGTGACCGACAATGTGACCAAGCAGGAGATCGACCTCATGCTGGGGCTGCTGCTGGGCTTCTGCATCAGCTGGTTCCTGGTGTGGATGGACGGCGTCCTGCACTACGCCGTGCGCGCCTGGCGCGCCAGCCGCCGATACGGTACGTCATCTTCATCATCTTCATCTTCCTCCTCATCCTAATCTTCTCCTCTTCCTCATTGTCCTCATCTTCGTCATCTTCTCATCTTCCTCCTCCTTGTCCTCATCTTCATCATCTCCCTCTTCCTCATCATCTTCTCCTCCTCATCCTCGTCTTCTTCACCATCTTCTCATCTTCACTATCTTCATCGTCTTAATCTTCATTATCTTCCCATCTTCATTATCTTCTCATCTTCCTCCTCCTTGTCCTCATCTTCATCATCTTCCTCTTCCTCATCATCTTCTCATCGTCCTCATCGTCCTCATCTTCTCATCTTCCTCCTCCTTGTCCTCATCTTCAACATCTTCCTCTTCCTCATCATCTTCTCCTCCTCATCCTCGTCTTCTTCACCATGTTCTCATCTTCACTATCTTCATCATCTTCATCTTCATCATCATCTCTTTTCATCATCTTCTCATCTTCCTCCTCCTTGTCCTCATCTTCATCATCTTCATCATCTTCTCCTCCTCATCCTCATGTTCTTCATCATCTTCATCATCTTCTCCTCCTCATCCTCGTCTTCTTCACCATCTTCTCATCTTCACTATCTTCATAATCTTCTCATCTTCATCCTCCTCTCATCTTCCTCCTCATGTTCTCCTCTTCTTCTCCTCTTCCTCCTCCTCATCTTCCTCATCTTCATAATCATCTTCATCATCTTCATATCTTCTCATCTTCCTCATCTTCATCATCTTCTCTTACTCATCATCTGCACCATCTTCATCATCTTCTCATCTTCATCAGCTTCATAATCTTTCTCCTCATCTTCATCATCTTCCTCCTCATCATCTTCTCCTCTTCCTTTTCTCCTTCCTCATGTTCCTCATCATCTTCCTTCTCATCTTCATTATCTTCACCTTCTCCTCTTCCTCCTCCTCCTCTTCATCCTCTTCTTCCTCCTCCTCCTCTTCTCCTTTTCCTCCTCCATTATTCCCGTTCCCATTTCCATTATTTCCATTATTTCCATTATTTCCATTTCCATTATTCCCATTTCCATCCCTTCCCACCCCTCACCCCTGGCCAGATGTGGGGAGGTTTTTATTCACTTGTGCCACCAAAACCAAAACCCTTGAGCACAGTTTGGTTTGGAGCAGTAAAATCCTGAATTAACCCCGGGAAGGCCCAGCAGACCCTTCAGAGCCTCCACTGCCCCATTCCCCCCTCAGCCCGTGGATTTCCACATTTGAAAGAGATAAAAACAACAGGAAAATGAGGGAATGACTGGAAATTCCCTCCCAAAGTGCCCAAAAATCTCCATTTCTCCAGCCCCTGACTGATGGTGCTGCTGAGCCCAGCTCAGGGAAGGAGCAGCAGGAAGATTTATCTGCAGGCCCATAAGAAATTCTAATGAGAAACGTGGAGTCTCTTTCTAAAAACTCAGATAAAAATGAAATTAATTTCCCATTAATCTTCCCAAACCCCAGCAGGCTCCAGGAGAAGTTTCTGAGCTGGGATTCTGATTTTCCTGGGAGGTTTCAGCTTTGAGGAGCAATTCTGGGGCTGGGACTCCTGAATTTCATCAGGGATCAGAGCAGGGCTGCCAGGAGCTCTCCTTGAGCTGGGCTCACCTGCCCCTACTGAAGGGAGTTTTTATTTTTAGTAATTCATTTAGTGGTTTATTTTTAGTAATTATTTTGTATTTGTAATTTTTAGTAATTCATTTCGTATTTATTTTTAGTAATTAATGTAGTAATTTATTTTTTAGTAATTATTTCATATGGTTTTATTTTTAGTAATTATTTAGTAGTTTGTTTTAGTAGTTTATTTAGTGGTTTATTTTTAGTGATTTAGTAGTATTATTTAGTAGTATATTTTTAGTAATTATTTAGTATTTTTTATTTGTAGTAGTTAATTTCATATTCTATTTTTAGTAACTAATTTAGTATTTATTTTTAGTAATTAATTTTGTATTTTATTTTTAGTAATGATTTAATATTTTTTAAATTTTAGCAATTAATTTAGTATTTTATATTTAGTAAGCACTTCGTATTTTTTATTTTTAGTAATGAATTTCATATTTTATATTTAGTAATGATTTAGTATTTGAAACTAGTATTAATTACTATATTTATTATAAATATTAAATATTAGGAATTATTAATATAAAATAGTATATAGAAAATAAAATATACATTACTATAAATTATGAATTATTATAAATATTATTACAAAGTATTGCTATGTATTAAAATATATTTAATATGTATAATATATAACACTATATATTATATAGTATATCTTACGTTTTATATATATTGTATATTATATATTATATAACATATAACATATAACATATAACATATAACATATAACATATATGATATATTATGTATTATATGTTATATATAAGTATGAAATATAAATTATAAATTAGCAATTAGTATAAATATTATTACAAATTATTACTATAAAATGAGAGATAAAATATTACTTATAATACCTTTTCAATAATTATAAATATTATCTAATATAGAAAATACTAATTATTATAAAGTATTAATTAGTATAAATATTAGAAAATATAAACTTGTCCTTTAGTCAAGGTGTAGAGTGAATTCTCAAGCTTGGAGGGTGACCCTGGGGGTGCCAGGAGGAGAGAGGAGAAGCACCAGAGCTGTCCTGGGTGTGCTGGCATGGGGACAGGGAGCTGGGCTGGGGACATGGGGACACAGAGCCCTGGGGACACAGAATCCTGGGGACAGGGAGCTGGGCTGGGGACATGGGGACACACAGAGAGCCCTGGGGACACAGAATCCTGGGGACAGGGAGCTGGGCTGGGGACATGGGGACACACAGAGAGCCCTGGGGACACAGAATCCTGGGGACAGGGAGCTGGGCTGGGGACATGGGGACACACAGAGAGCCCTGGGGACACAGAATCCTGGGGACAGAGCCCTGGTGGGTGACAGAGCCTGACCCTGTTGTCCCCTGACTTGCAGACAAGGAGCTCTGTGGGGCACACCCAGAGCTTTGGGGACACACACAGAGCCCTGGGGACAATGAGACCTGGGGACAGCAAGCACTGGTGTTGACACACACAGAGCCTTGGGGACACAGCCCTGGGGGGACACCCACACAGCCCTGGGGACACAAAGAGCCCTGGGGACACATCCAGAGCTCTGGGGACACAGCCCTGGTGACAGAGCCTGATCCTGGTGTCCCCTGTTGCAGTCAAGGAGCTCTGCTGGGGACACAGAGCTTTGGGGACACAGCCCTGGGGGGACATCCATAGCCCTGGTGGGTGACAGATCCTGACCCTGCTGTCCCCCTGCCTTGCAGACAAGGAGCTCTGCTGGGGACACAGAGCTTTTGGGGGACACACACAGAGCTTTGGGGACACCCATAGCCCTGGGGGGTGACAGACCCTGACCCTGCTGTCCCTCGTTGCAGACAAGGAGCTCTGCTGGGGTCACACAGAGCTTTGGGGGCACAGAGCTTTGGGGACACACACAGAGCTTTGGGGACACCCATAGCCCTGGGGGGTGACAGACCCTGACCCTGCTGTCCCTCGTTGCAGACAAGGAGCTCTGCTGGGGTCACACAGAGCTTTGGGGGCACAGAGCTTTGGGGACACACACAGAGCTTTGGGGACACCCATAGCCCTGGGGGGTGACAGACCCTGACCCTGCTGTCCCCCCTCGTTGCAGACACGCCCTGGTGGTGGCTGCCCAGGCTGTGTAAGCTGAAGGAGCTGCGCAAGCGCCACCCGCGGCAGTACGAGGAGCCCACGGGGAACATGGTGCACATCAAACAGAAGCTCTACCACAACGGGCACCCCAGCCCGCGGCACCTGTGAGGGAACCGCACTCCAGGGACTCCTCTTCCTCACGGGACGGCCCCTGCAGCGCCCCCAGGCCGGCCGGGCACTCGGATTGCCGCGATTTTGCCGCGATTTTGCCGCGATTTTGCCGGGATGGCCCCGGGCGGACGCGCCACCATGCACAACCAGAGCCGGCGCTGGGCGCTCTGCAGCCCAGGCTTTGCACTGTGGTCCTCGTTTTATTGTCAGACTGGTGTAAATATGTAAAAAAAAAAAAAAGCAGACAAGAACAACAACAACAAAAAAGAGATTTGCATTATAATTTCAACCCTCATCTCATTGTCCTGGCTGTCCTGCTCATCCTGCTGGCAGTGGTGGCCGAGGGGATGGAGGTGGGACAGCAGCAAGAAGATGCAAAGTGTCTCCTCCAGGAGCTCCAGCCCCACAACATTTCTTTGTTCCTTTGGCTGCTCTGAGCCTCCCGTGGCTACAAAGGGCCTGGCTGGTCACAGGTTTGGATGGGGGAAGGCACAGTGTCCCCTTTTTGGGGTTTTATTTTGTTTTGGTTCACAGGTTTCACAGTGTCCCCTTTTTGGGGTTTTTGGTTTCACAGGTTTGGATGGGGGAAGGCACAGTGTCCTCTTTTTGGGGTTTTTTGGAGTTTTATTTTGCTTTGGTTCACAGGTTTCACAGTGTTCCCTTTTTGGGGTTTTTGGGGTTTTTATTGCTTTGGTTCATGTTCTGGAATTGCTGTGTGGGAAGGAAGGGCTGGGGAATGGGTCAGGGCTTTGTGTTTGCATTGCTGCCCTCTGAACCTGCCTTAAGCACCCCTTTAGTGGTGGCACCTTTGGAGGTGGCACCTTTGGTGGCACTTTGGGTAGTGGCACCTTTGGTGGTGGCACTTTTGATGGTGTCACCTTTGGAGGTGGGAAAAAAGGAGCTGCTCTGCCCCTCTTCCTGCAGGGTGACCCTGGTTAAAACACCCCAAAAACCCCAAAACCCCAGAGACCAGCAAGAGGGGTTCCTGAGCAGCCTCTTGTAAGGTGAGCCTGGTTAAAACACCCCAAAAATCTGATTAAAACACCCCAAAACCCCAAAAACTCAGCACAGAGGGAGCCCTGGGCAGGGTGAGCCTGGTTAAAACACCCCAAAAACCTCAAAACCCCAAAAACCCCAGAGGGCAGCACAGAGGGGGTCCTGAGCAGGGTCAGCCTGGTTAAAACACCCCAAAAATCTGGTTCAAACACCCCAAAAAGCAGCAAGAGGGGTCCCTGAGCAGCCTCACTCCTGCTGCACCCGTTTCTTATGGGGCTGGGCTTTGGGGACACACAGACACCCAGACCAAAACCCCAAATCCACAAACACCCAGACCAAACTCCTCCCCAAACACCCCAAATGTCCCCAGAGTCGACCCCAAGTGTGAGGAAGCTCCAAAGTGGTTTTGTGGTGCTGCTCCTGGGTGGGTTTTGAGGTCTGATCTTTTGGGATCAGGGCTCTGAGGGCAGTGTCCTCACCCCAAAACCTCCTGTAGGGCCAGCAGGAGCTGGGGGGTTTTGGGGTGTTTTATCCTGGGATTTGTGAGCAGGGATAAGAGGGAAATTCCATCCCCAGAATCTGAGAACCCTCAATACTTCCCTCAATATTTCCCCCTATTTCATCTTTTTGTATCCAGTGGGGTGGTGCAGAAAAAGGGGAAAAACCCATAACTAAAGGATGCTGAGAAAAATCTCATTTATTTTTTCCACGGATTCCATGAAACTCCCAGAAAAATCTTTTTTTTCCCATGGATTCCATGACATTTTCAGTGGCCTCCTGCTGTTTGGTGGAAGCAAAAGGGACACCCCAACTCCTGCTCTTCCTCCCTGCTTCACTTTCTGTGTTTTGGGGTCATTTTTAAATTTCCTATGCCCAGTTCTGTTAATTACAGGCCCAAATATTCCCATTTTTCTGCCATCCCCACTTTTGCTATTCCCTAGTGCCTCTTGTCTTGGAGCCCCAGGTTTTTTCTGGACCTCAATAATTGCCTGGTCCATATTTGTGTCTGTCTGTCTGTCTGTCTGTCATTCCTGGCTGTCATGTCCAAAATTCCTTAGGATCTAAGGAATGACTTTTCCTTGAGCAGTTATCACCAAGTGGGGACAGCATTTTGTAGGGGAGAAAATTCCATTGGGATAAGGAGAAAATATTGAGCCCCTGGGACTGGTTATGTAAAAAAAAAAGGGGAGAAAAAAGCACTTTAAATCAAATTTTCCACTGATTAAACTCAGACTGAATGTAAAGCCTGGCTCTAGAAGCTGAGCTTGGTTGAAATATTTAAAATTTAAGCAGAAATATTAAAAATTTAGGCAGAAATGTTAAAAATTAGGCAGGTGGAAATGGTGAAGTGATGGCTCATACCTGTTAGGGTTGATCTGGCTGATCCATGGCAAAATTCCATAAAAATTTGAGGATCTGGAAGCGGGGGGGGGAAAGATTTTCTACATAATGAAAATGTTCCTGTAGTATAAAAAGAGATTTTGAAAAAAATATGGCAAGAGGGAAGGAGAGGAGAGGAGAGGAGATGAAGTAAAGGAGAGGAAGCAGAGGAGAAAAAGAAGAGGAAAGGGAAGCAGAGGAGAGGAAGAAGAAGAGAGGGAAGCAGAGAAGGAAGAAGAGGAAGGAGAGGAGAAGGAAGCAAAGGAGAGGAATTAAAGGAGAGGAAGAAGAGGAGAAGAAGAAGAGGAGAGGGAAGCAGAGGAGAGGAAGACAAGAGGAAGCAGAGAGGGAAGCAGAGGAAAAGGAAGCGGAGAAGAAGAGGAGAGGAAGAAGAGGAAGGAGAGGAGAAGGGAGGAGAGGAATGAAAGGAGGGGAAGAAGAGGAGAAGGAAGCAGAGGAGAGGGAAAGAGAGGAGATGAAGCAGAGGAGAGAAAGAAGAGGAGAGGAAGAAGTGAGGAAGAAGAGGAGATGAAGTAAAGGAGAGGAAGAAGATGAGAGGGCAGAGGAGAGGAAGGAGAGAGGAAGGAGAGGAAGCAGAGAGGGAAACAGAGGGAAGCAGAGGAGAAGAAGAGAAGAGGAAGAAGAGGAAGGAGAAGGAAGCAGAGGAGAGGGAAGAAGAGGAAGGGAAGATGAGAGGAAGAAGAGGAAAGGGATGGAGAGGAGAGGAAGGCGAGGAAGCAGAGAGGGAAGAAGAGGAGAGGAAGAAGAGAGAAAGAAGAGGAGATGAAGTAAAGGAGAGGAAGAAGAGGAAAGGGAAGCAGAGGAGAGGAAGAAGAAGAGAGGAAGAGGAGGAGAGGGCAGAAGTGGCAGAGCCAGGAGGAGCTGCCCACCCCGGCTGGGCTGAGGGGCCCTGCTGTGTGTCCGTGTGTCCTGAGCTCTGTCTGTGTCACTCTGTGCCCCCTCTGGCACCCCCATTTCTGTTCCCCAGGGGCTCCCAGCCCCTCCTGGCACTCCCTGCTCTCCCCTGGGGAGGATTTTCACTCCTGGAGCACCAGCACAGAGCCTGCAGTGCTGCCTGCCCTCATTTCCATCCTTATTTTCCTTTTTCCTGCACCCAAAGCACCTCTGCATGCATCAGGCAGGGAGAGGCACAGCCCAGACTGCACCAGAGAGACCCAGCTCTGCTCTGGGTCCATCACAGAACCATCTCTACTGTGGTTGAAAAGCAATAATGGCGAATTTTTACTTTTATTTTTATGAAATACAACTTGCACAGGCAGATTTCAGCCAGGGCTGTGCTGGAGGAGCAGCTGAAGGTGCAGAGAGCTTGGGCTGGGCGAGGCAATAGAAAAAAGCACACTGTGATTTATTTTGGGTCAACAAGTGAGTGTATTTCAGCCATTCCTTCCCTTTCAAGATGTTTGTACCATAGAGAACCAGTCCAGCTCCTGGAACCAAGCCCATCCTTTGCTGTTTGTCAGTAAAATAGTTTTTTGCATGTTTTGCATCTGAGTGGTTTTTATTTCCCCAACCCTCTGAAGTCAGTAATTCCCTCTGGGAGCAGCAATTCCCCAGATTTTTGGGCAGGAGGAGACGAAAAAAGGCTGGGAAGGTGTGGGGAGAGCCCTGAGGAAGGGCTGGGGGATTCCCTCACATTCTGGGACATTTTTGGCTCCTGCTGGCTGGGAAAACAGGGAAGCTCTGAGATCCAAAACTGATTTTTAAGGAAAATATGTCACTGATTTTAAAGGAAAAATCCCTGATTTTAAAGGAAAATATTTCACTGTTCAATTGTGGGTGCAAGCTGTCTGCAGAGAGGAGCCTGAGCCTCTCAAGCCCAATGCCTGGAAGGGCAGGAAAAGCAGGAAAAGCAGAGGAATTTCAGGAAAAGTGCCAGGAACAGCTCAGCATGGACAAGGTGGGCACCCCAGAGCAGCAATTCCCCATTTTTTGGGCAGGAGGAGATGCAAAAAGGCTGGGAAGGTGTGGGGAGAGCCCTGAGGAAGGGATGGGAGATTCCTCCACATTTTGGGACAGATTTTTGGCTTCTGCTGGCTGGGGAAACAGGGAAGCTCTGAGATCCAAAACTGATTTTAAAGGAAAATATTTCACTGATTTTAAAGGAAAAACTCCCTGATTTTAAAAGAAAATATTTCAATTTTGTTCAATTCTGGGTGCCTGCAGAGAGGAGCCTGAGCCTCTCAAGCCCAATGCCTGGAAGGGCAGGAAAAGCAGGAAAAGCAGAGGAAATTCAGGAAAAGGGCCAGGAGCAGCTCAGCATGGCCAAAGTGGGGCTGGTGGCAGCTCCTGTGTGAGCAGAGCTCAGCAAGGGCACAGATTTAGGTCAGGCCAACGTGCTGGGGCTGTGTAGCTACACAAGAGGCCTCAGAGCAGAGCACAGAGTTCAGATCCAGTTCAAACACAGAGAAAAAAAAAATCAGGAGGTTTTCTAACCTGTCTCTCATATGCACAGAACAACAAATGTCATCTCATCAAGACAGGCTCGTGTTCAGGCCCTGACAATGGCACATTCTCCCAGCTGGTGCAGAAATGCAGCAGAAAATTTGTGTGGCAAGAGCAGTGCAAAGAAACAAACTCATCTCTCTCTTCAGGCCATGCTGCATCTGTGGGCCCCAAAGTCATCTCTCCATGGAGAAAAGTGATTTTACTTGGGGGAAAAATATGTGGGGATGCTCTCAGACCACTTGTGTTAAACAGTGAATCCCCCACAAATCCACTTTTCTAAGAAAAAAATTAATCTTGAAGGGTAACTCAAGTGAGGAAGGAGCTGTGTCATGAGCAGGATTTGGGGATAAAAGGGTGAGAAATGGCTCTGCTGGAGAACAAACCCTACAAATTTAAATGTATGGGATGCAAATGTCAGGTTTTGACAATCCCTGGGTTCCCACAAGTGCTGGGACACTGCAGAAACAGCTCAGAAGGATTTGGGGATAAAAGGGTGAGAAATGGCTCTGGGGGAGCACAAACCCTTGCAAATTTAAATGAATTCGATGCAAATGTCAGGCTTGGACAATCCCACAGGTGCTGGGACATTGCAGAAACACCTCAGAAGGATTTGGGGTCAGGCCACAGACACCAACACAGCCAGTGGTGTTTCACCAAGGGTTCCTTTAATAAATCCAGTTATTTCTTCCTTTTGAACCCATTTTGCCTTTCTGCTTTTGCACTGGAGGCCCAGGGCAGCCCCTCCCTGGCGCCACGGGCTGCTCTCCACGGCCACCCCACCAAACCTTTGCCTTTTTTCTGTGCTCAGGTGAATCCTGCAGGCTCCTCACACCGGTGTCCCTTGGTGGAAGGGCGGCAGGGGGTTCCTGGCAGTCTCTCTGTTTGCTTCTGCACCTTCTGTCTGCAGCCACTCCATCTTCTGCCGGTGCTGCCGCACGGCGTCGGCCACGCGCGCGTCCATCATGGCCTCGGTCAGCACGCCGTCCTCCGAGGCGTAGGCTGCGGCCTGTGGGGACAGGGACAGCTCAGGGATGGCCTGTGCCACCGGCAGGGACAGCTCAGGCTGCGGCCTGTGGGGACAAGGACACCTCAGGGATGGCCTGTGGGGACAGGGACACCTCAGGGATGGCCTGTGCCACCAGCAGGGACAGCTCAGGCTGCTGCCTGTGGGGACAAGGACACCTCAGGGATGGCCTGTGCCATCAGCAGGGACAGCTCAGGCTGCGGCCTGTGGGGACAGGGACACCTCAGGGATGGCCTGTGCCACCAGCAGGGACAGCTCAGGCTGCGGCCTGTGGGGACAGGGACAGCTCAGGGATGGCCTGTGCCACCAGCAGGGACAGCTCAGGCTGCGGCCTGTGGGGACAGGGACACCTCAGGGATGGCCTGTGGCATCAGCAGGGACAGCTCAGGCTGCGGCCTGTGGGGACAGGGACACCTCAGGGATGGCCTGTGCCACCGGCAGGGACAGCTCAGGCTGTGGCCTGTGGGGACAGGGACACCTCAGACACCTCAGGGATGGCCTGTGCCACCAGCAGGGACAGCTCAGGCTGCGGCCTGTGGGGACAGGGACACCTCAGGGATGGCCTGTGGGGACAAGGACACCTCAGGGATGGCCTGTGCCACCAGCAGGGACAGCTCAGGCTGCGGCCTGTGGGGACAGGGACACCTCAGGGATGGCCTGTGGGGACAAGGACACCTCAGGGATGGCCTGTGGGGACAGGGACACCTCAGGGATGGCCTGTGCCACCAGCAGGGACACCTCAGGGATGGCCTGTGGGGACAGGGACACCTCAGGGATGGCCTGTGCCATCGGCAGGGACAGCTCAGGCTGTGGCCTGTGGGGACAGGGACACCTCAGACACCTCAGGGATGGCCTGTGCCACCGGCAGGGACAGCTCAGGGATGGCCTGTGCCACCGGCAGGGACAGCTCAGGCTGCTGCCTGCCTGCTGTGCCCTTCCCCATGGGGGATTTCACCACAGCGCTCTCGTTCCAAGGGTGTGCAGGGATCAACAATGGGCTCTGCCCAACTCTGGATTCCTGGGAGTAAAAGCCCTTGTTTGGAGAAGGAAAACCCAACATTTGGCTCCTTTAAATTTCCCCTCCTGCTCTAAAAGTGCTGTACAGAAGTCTGGTTTTGAGAAGAGAGAACCCACATTAGGATACTTTAAATTTCCTCTTCTGGTCTAGAAGAGCTGCATGTGTGAAGCCTGGTTTTGAGAAGAAAAACCCCACATTTGGCTTTTTAAAATCCCCTCTCCTGCCCTAAAAGAGCTGTATATGTGAAGCCTTGTTTTCAGAAGAAAAGATCTCAACATGTGGCTTCTTTAAATTTCCTCTTCTGCTCCAGAAGAGCTGCACATGTGAAGCCTTGTTTTGAGAAGAAAAACCCATTATTTGGCTTTTTAAAAATTCCCTCTCCTGGTCTAGAAGAGCTGCACATGTGAAGCCTTTTTTTCAGAAGATCCCACACTTGGTTCCTTTAAATTTCTTCTGCTCTAAGAGATGCACTTGTGAAGCTTTGTTTTCAGAAGGAAAGACCCCATACTTGGCTCCTTTAAATTTCCTCTTCTGCCCTAGAAGACCTGCACATGTGAAGCCTTTTTTACAGAAGAAAATACCCCACATTAGGCTCCCTTAAATTTCCACCCCTGTCCTAAAGGAGCTGCACATGTGAAGCCTTGTTTTGAGAAGGAAAGACCCCACATTTGGCTTTTTTAAATCCCCTCTCCTGCCCTAAAAGAAAAGAGCTGCACATGTGAAGCCTTGTTTTTAGAAGACTCACATTTGGCTCCTTTAAATCCCCTCTCCTACTCTAGAAGAGCTGCACATGTGAATCCTTGTTTTCAGAAGACCCCAACATTTGGCTTTTAAAAATTTTCTCTCCTCTAAAAGATCTGCACACGTGAAGCCAATAAAGTGAAGAGAGGTGGGTGCAGGAGAGTGATGGAACCACTCCATCCAAAGCTAAATAAAATTGTTTAAACACTTGCACAGCAGAACAAACAGCAGTGCTGGGGGGCACATGGGCAACGTGGTGCCTTTAAAACGATGTTTAATGTGCCTCTAAAATGATGTTTAATGTGCCTTATCCTGCTTTCCTCCCTCAGGAACCTCCCCTGCATCACCTCAGTGCTGCGGCAGCTCCCACCTGCACCCAAAGCCCAACTCCCCAGGCCAGGGGCAGCACAGAGGTGAGCACAGCTCCTTGGGGCAGCCCCTGCCACCTCTGTCCCCCAGGGGAACACCTGTGGGGCAGCAGAGGGACTGTCCCTCATGCAGGGGACACCCAGCACAGCTGGGGCCCGGCCTGGGCTCCCTGAGATGCCAGCACAGCACACAGGGCAGGGATGCTGGTGCTGGCTGCTGGTGCTGTCAGCTGCACCCATCTCCACGGTAACAGAGCAGCCCCCGAGCTGCCGAGTTCTAAATCTGGTTCCTCCCTCTGCAAGGGCTCCCGTGAGCTGCTCAGGGAATCAGGGAGCTTGGCTGCACACAGATCCCCTGGCTGTACAGAGGGTTGTACAGGGACCCTCGGCTGTGATTCCTGGGCTGCACACAGAACCCTTTGATGCACACAGATCCCTTGGCTGCACAGATGGTTGTACAGAGATCCCTTTTATGCACACAGATCCCTTGGTTGTACAGGGATCCCCTAGCTGTACAGAGGGTTGTACAGGGATCCCTTGGTTATAAACAGATCCTTGGGCTGTACAGGGATTCCCGGGCTGCACGCAGATCCCTTGGTTGCACACAAATTCCTTTGATGCACACAGATCCCTTGGTTTTACACAGAATCCTTTCTATGCACACAGATCCCTTGGCTGCACAGGGATCCCTTTGATGCACACAGATCCCTTGGCTATACAGGGATTCCCTTTTATGCACACAAATCCATTCCATGCACACAGATCCCTTGGTTTCACACAGATCCCTTTTATGCTCACAAATCCCTTTGATGCACACAGATCCCTTGGCTGCCCAGGGAACCTTTGGCTGCACACAGATCCCTTTTTATGCACACAGATCCCTGGGATGTACAGGGATTCCCTGGCTGCACACAGATCCCTTTGATGCACACAGATCCCCTTGGTTTCACACAGAATCCCTTTTATGCACACAAATCCATTCTATGCACACAGATCCCTTGGTTTTACACAAATCCCTTGGTTTTACACAGATCCCTTTTATGCACACTGATCCCTTGGTTTTACACAAATCCCTTGGTTTTACACAGATCCCTTTTATGCACACTGATCCCTTGGTTTTACACAAATCCCTTGGTTTTACACAGATCCCTTTTATGCACACTGATCCCTTGGTTTTAGACAAATCCCTTGGTTTTACACAGATCCCTTTCATGCACACAGATCCCTTTTATGGACACAGACCCCTTGGCTGTACAGAGATTCCTTGGTTGCACAGAGGGTTGTACATGGATCCCTTGGTTTCTCACAGATCCCTTGGTTTCACACAAATCCCTTTTCCGCACACAGATCCCTGGGATGTACAGAGATTCCCTGGCTGCACACAGATCCCTTTGATGCACACAGATCCCTTGGTTTCTCACAGATCCCTTTTATCCCACAGGGATTGGGATGAGGGCTGGGAGCCCTGCAGCTCCCCCAGCCACCCTGCCTGTCCCTAAGAACCCCAAACTTCTCCCCCATCCTGGATTTTCAGTGCCAACCCTGCTGTCCCCTGTCCCAGTGAGTTTAACGTGGATTCAGCACTCACTGCAGCGATCCTGAGGCATCACACACAGCCTCCATCCATTATTGATGCTGCAAAACACCAACTCCAGCAAGGAAGGAGCCTGACAGAAAAACAGCACAGGAACCAACTCAGGGGTGACCCTTTTACCCCTCAGGGATGTCCATGGGGCAGCAAACACAGCCCAGCACGAGCTGCAGCTCTGCCACCACCACAGGGCTGGAGCTGCCTATGGCATCACTGAGGAGATGCAAGGAGAAATAATAATTTCCAACAAAAGTAAAAGGTTCCTCAGGCTGGTTTTCAGCTCCTCTAACCCCTTTTCCTGCCTTTTTTATGGGGAGGAACTGGTTGGACCACAAAAGGTCTCAGAGCTGGCAGGTGCTGGATTTTCCTGCAAAATCCTTTCCTTGTGCAAACCCTCTGCAATCCTTGCTCCAGGCAGGACTGAGACCTAAAACCAGGAGTAAAGCCTGGCCTTGGGAAGGAGCAGCTCTGCAAATAGATATTCACTAATTATTGTTATTTATTTTCTATTTATTTATTATTTATTCTCTATTTATTTATTCTGCAAGGTTCTTGTGCTGCTCTCACTGCCTGAGCAGGATCTTCAGCACCTCTCCTGTCCTCCCTGCAAAAACTGACACTTACAACCAGGAGTAAAGTTTTGGCCTTGAGAAAGAGAAGGCCTGTAACTAAAGAATTCTCTAGTTATTATTATTTATTCTCTATTTCGCTATTCACCAAAGCTCTTGTGCTGCTCTCACTGCCTGAGCAGCACCCTCAGCACTGAGGCTGCCAAATATTCCCTCAGCACCTCTCCTGTCCTCTCTGCAAAAAGGGAAAACTGCAAAGGTTTTGTTCAGACTTCCCTCACCCCTTTGACATTTTTATTTTTTGTGAAATAAAAATTCTTCATAATTTTTTTTTTGTAAAATAAAAATAAAAAAAGGGGCTCTCAGTGCAGCCCTGAAACCACTGCAAAGGTTTTGTTCAGACCTCCCTCACCCCCCTTGACAGTTTTATTTTTTGTAAAATAATAATTCTTTATAAAAATTTATTTGTAAAATAAAAATAAAAACAAGGCTCTCAATGCAGCCCTGGTGGGGTGTTTGAAAATGGAAAAAGAGCTTTTTTGGGATGGATTTTTGTGCTGCCAGAGTGGAACCTCCTGCAAAGCTGTGCAGTTCATGCTCTGCTGATTTTCTCAATGACTTTCTATTTTTAGAAAGCCTCAGGCCCTCACTGTCAAGAAAGCAAATGGGAGAAGCAGCTGCCCCTTCTGGGAGTA